ATACATTATGGATCTAAAGGTTTCTGATAAATACATCATGGATCTAACGGAATTTCAGAATAATTCATGGTGGAATCATAATGTTAATTTCCTTAGTTTTTGTTGTTTTTTTAATTTCATTAGGGTTTCAACAAGAATTAAGATAAATCAGAAGCCATTTAGCACATAGTATTAACTAAGCCTTCTTTTTTAAAGAATATTTCAAGCAGTGTGTTCACATGTTGAATAGTTACATAAGGACTGCTCCTGCCTTCTGTCAGGTTTCGGAGACGACGTTTCGTTATAGAAGTTAAGTCAGTTAAGTTATTTGAAGAAAATCGATATTAATTAGAAATGTGATAAAGATAATTATTACGATTACGTTTTAATTTCTGAGTTAACATTTGGCATGATTCAAGAAAATTAAGTCTGTTTTGATCATAACCCGGATAATTAACAGCTCGAAAAAAAAACTATTTTCTGGAAATATATCTATAAGCATGTGATTTGTCTATATCAGTGAACAAGTTAGAAAGAGTAAAACAAAAATAAATGTTTAAATTCTAACTATGTCTGTAATCAGTTTGTTTGTTTTTTGTAATAATTGTTTGATACTGTTAGATGTCCTTACTTCTTGAAAATAAACATTTGATCCAGAGTATCGATAACGAAGCAATACATTTGCTCAGTTATTTTATTTCATAAGAACGACATATAACAAATTTATAATATAATTATTAGAGTTTAAGAAACCATTATCTCGATTTGTAACACATTTTAACATGACATTTTGTTACTTTTATTTTAATGATTATGACTTAAGCATATCCGCCAGTTCGGTCACCAATTCTCCAAAAAATTGTTGTGAGTTTTCGAAGGAAAATGAAAAATTTCGTCAGTTTTGAAGAAATCTTTATTTCAAGATCACCAGCACAAGTTTTTAATTAAATAATATACTCGTACTCGTGAGGTGATTAACACCTCTGTCCATTTACATTTAAATCAGAACAAATAAATACCTCATATGTTTCCCTAACAAAAAATCAAGAATTTTCTTGTAACATTTATATAACACGAACTTTTCAAAATCCACTTAAAGAGATTAGTTCTTTAACTACACAGTTTTGTGGCCGTTATATCAGATAAAGAAATAAAATGTTGGTTTCGTGGAAACAAATTCCTAAAATCCTCCACCTGTTTCCCTAAAATATGTTCAATTTTAAAATCAAGGCCGTGGCTGTGTTTCTGAACTGATTTGTAAAACAAAAAAAACAAACAATTGTAGATATGATGCAAATGGTATGCTGAAATTGATAATTTAAAACAAAACAAAGGTGAAAGATGATTCCTGATATGTAAATTAAAACCGGCTTAGAATTAAGTATTCAAAATTACATAAAACTTTTTCAAGTGGTTGTATCTCTTACACTTGTTTATTTTATCATATAATATTACAAAGTTTAGAGAAAAAAAAATCTTCAATAACAAATCTAATTTTTTCAACTGGGTGGAAACGTTACTTGAGGATATACAATGGAAATAAAAGGTGCGGATCAATGAATATTTGAAGTAAAATATAAATCTGTAGAAACCGAAAAGTTTTATACATCATTTCAAGAAGAAAAGGGGTCTTCAAATGCGAATGTTGGAAAAAAAAATTTTTATTCTTTATTTAATAATAGAAACATTAATCACTAAATATATCTATGATGCCAAAACATGAGTTGTATTTTTGTCAAAATATTTCATTTGTTCACAAGTTTTGACGAAAAATAATTGATTAAAAAACAGTGTTCAGTGAAAACCTACTCCAAGTGCTTGTGAACAACAATAACATTTAAACAGTAAATTCTGATACCGAATCTTGATTACTACGTACACAACACAATGGCTTCATAAGACAAGCATTGAATATTATATTTATAACATCAACAATTCTTAGGAATACAAATGAAAAAAGTATATATTTACGAGAAACTACACCATTTTCCATTGATTTAATCAAATAAAGTTCTCTGTTACAAGTTATTCTTCGGACATCTTTATTTATTACAAACTAAAAATCGGCAGTTTGAAATATCGTTTTTATAACTAGGATTTGACAAAGAAGATACAATTTGAAACTAAAGAAAAAAAAAAATATTCGTTCTCAAACGCTCATTAATCCGATAAATTTTATTAGCAGTCATTGAAAACATGGGCGTGAGAAATATAAAGCCCATAATTATGTGATTGATTAAGATTTGATACAATTTCTTGCCTACGTTTACCGTATAGTTGCTTCTTATTTTACTTTTTAGCAGAGAAAAGATCTTTAGAAACAATGTATAGGCTACTTTTAGTTTAGATATTTTTTGTTTATTCATTCTTAGATATACTTGGTATTTTATATACACATTATACATCACGTTATTTCTTATTTGGTAATAAACACACTTAGATTTCTTTATCCCTATTAAATCACTATTTAATTTACGTTATTTCTTATTTGATAATAAACACACTTAGATTTCTTTATCCCTATTTAAATCACTATTTAACTTACGTTATTTCTTATTTGATAACCATCACACTTAGATTTCTTTATCCCTATTAAATCACTATTTAATTTACGTTATTTCTTATTTGATAATAAACACACTTAGATTTCTTTATCCCTATTAAATCACTATTTAATTTATGTTATTTCTTATTTGATAACCATCACACTTAGATTTCTTTATCCCTATTAAATCACTATTTAATTTATGTTATTTCTTATTTTATAATGTACATACTTAGATTTCTTTATCCTTATTAAATCACTATTTAATTTACGTTATTTCTTATTTGATAATAAACACACTTAGATTTCTTTTTCCCTATTAAATCACTATTTAATTTACGTTATTTCTTATTTTATAATGTACACACTTAGATTTCTTTATCCTTATTAAATCACTATTTAATTTACATTATTTCTTATTTGATAACGAAAACACTTACATTTCTTTATCCCTATTAAATCACTATTTAATTTACATTATTTCTTATTTTATAATGTACACACTTAGATTTCTTTATCCCTATTAAATCACTATTTAATTTACGTTATTTCTTATTTGATAATAAACATACTTAGATTTATTTATCCCTATTAAATCACTATTTAATTTACATTATTTCTTATTTTATAATGTACAGACTTATATTTCTTTATCTCTATTAAATCACTATTTAACATACGTTATTTCTTATTTGATAACGAAAACACTTACATTTCTTTATCTCTATTAAATCACTATTTTACTTACGTTATTTCTTATTTGATAATAAACACACTTACATTTCTTTATCCCTATTAAATCACTTGAATTATAATTTGTTTTCAGTTTTAACTCTCTGTTTACGGTCGTTTAAGGTTATTATAGACGTAATGTTTTGTTTAGTTGTCATTAAGCACAAAGATTCATAATAGGTTGTCTGTGTTGCGCTTACATAACAAAGAGTTTTACCGTTATAAACTCCCAAGCTTACAACTTAGCAACTGCATCAGTTGTTTTCGATAACGATAACATATAAATGTAAGGTGTGTTTTACTGTGTTCTGAGAGGCTTAACACTGATGTAGCGTACCGCATTTCTCTGCAATACTTCAAACTAGTCTAATATTTATGTGATGTACCGTACTTCTCTACACTAATTCAGATTAGACTAACACTGATGTAGTGTTATGCATTTCTCTACACTGCTTCAGGTTAGTCTAACATTAATATAGTGTTATGTATTTTTTTACATTACAGATTAGTCGAACAGTAATGTAGTGTTATGTATTTCTCTACACTGCTTCAGGTTAGTCTAACATTAATATAGTGTTATGTATTTTTTTACATTACAGATTAGTCGAACATTAATGTAATGTTATGTATTTCTCTACACTGCTTCAGGTTAGTCTACCATTAATGTAGTGTTATGTATTTTTTTATGTTACAGATTAGTCGAACATTAATGTAATGTTATGTATTTCTCTACACTGCTTCAGGTTAGTCTACCATTAATATAATGTTATGTATTTTTTACACTACAGATTAGTCGAACATTAATGTAGTGTTATGTATTTTTTATGTTACAGATTAGTCGAACATTAATGTAAAACCTGAAGCAGTGTAGAGAAATACATAACATGTAACATAAAAAAATACATAACACTACATTAATGGTAGACTGGATTAGTCGAACATTAATGTAGACTAGCCTATTGTTAACGTGGTGTGTTGGGTTTCTTCCTTCAGAATAACCTACTACTGACGAAGTGTGTTTTTCTTCGTTCTATTCGATAAGATATCATTGTAATTGCGTGACATTCTATTTAATTATTACAATTTGGAAACACTATTATTTTTCGTTCTTATTTCTTCGACAAATATTGTAATTTGAGTTCCTGAGAATATCTAGCGCATGCTATATTAACATTCTCTTTTTGTGCTTTTCTTAGCCATTTGCCATCGTAAATTTTAATTGGTGTATTAAAATTAATAAAATATCTCAATAACGTAGAAAATAGAACTAACAAATGTTCTTATTCAAATGCCTAAAAATCCATAAATAACAAACTTAACATAGAATATGTGAAATTAATTTAAGGTTTGATTTTTTTAAAATAAAAATTAAACCTTAAACAACAGAGAAAATGGACGTGACATCAATACATAGTTTTACAAACGTGCTACAGAATGGACTTAAAATAAAGAAGTATTTGAAAATAAAGTTGTTGTTTTTTGTTGTATTTAGAAATAAGAAATTATATTAACTTCACCTATTATTCTCATTGATAAAGTATGTAGTCATATATAAAACAAAACATTTTCTGGAACACAGTAAAAATTTACTCTCTACCAATATCTTTAGCTCATGAGAAATAACATAGCGTTTCGTCGACTAAAATAAGTGTAAATAAATGTGAAAAAGCGCAGGATCTGATAGATTAAGTGCAGCTTCAAAGTAAATATCAAAAAGTTCAGCCAACGTTTTTCAAAGATTCTGTTGTTATCAACATGTCGAGTAAACACTTTTTTTTTTTTACATAAGCCACTGAAATAAGTTTGTTTCAGTGAAGATGAGGTTTCCGGGGGGCAAGATACGGGTGGCAGGGGTGTTCTTACTAGAAGGACGTTCATCAAATACTGCTGTAGAACGGAAGAAAGTTACCGGAGATCGCTTATGTTACTTTTAGATCCGAACACTCTAATAAGCTCTTCTTCATATTCATCAATGTTCCGTTTGAGGATATCCATACACGGCCCAAGCAGTCGCTCAAAAGCATGGACGTCAAGAACTTTAATCAAAAACAAATTATACATTATAAGTTTACTATAAACTCTACTTTTTAAAAAAACTCTATGTTTGTAGAATAGACAACTAATGTATATAACTTAACCCATTATTCTAAACCATTTATGCCCCAAATTGCTTATAGATCCATGACCTTTTTTTTTAAATTACAGGACTTTTAGCAACATATTAATTACACTACAAAACTTTAACAAACAAGATCATTATTGGTAGTAGGTAGGCAAACAACAATTTTTCAGAGCAAGAAATTTCAATGTTCTGTTGATTGTTTGTTTGTTTTTGTAATTATGCACAAAGCTACACAATGGGCAATCTGTGCTCTGCCCACCACGGGTATCGAAACCCGGATTCTAGCGTTGTAAGTCCGCAGATATACCGCTGTGCCACTGGGGGGGGGGGGCATGTTCCGTTGAAACATGTAGTATGATCCCCCATCAATAAAACTTTTCCTTATGTTTATAAATCGTTGTTTTATTATTATATTAACATAATGTGCTTACTTAATTATTACCTTCTTGTATTTACTGAAGCATTAAAACATTTCGTGACAGCATTAATACTGTGATAGCCTTTTTAATATTTCTATCCAAGATTATCAGCATGTTGAAAAATATCATTTGAGTTTTAAAAATACTTTTCCCACTCCACTTATTGCACCGGGTGGAATAATTTGAACATTTCTGTCTGTCACAACAAAGAACCGGTAAAATAAAATGTGAAATTATTAATTATTAATTTGCTGTGTAAAATACGTAGAGAACCCTAGCAGAAATTAATAGGATTAATTACAATATTAATGATCTTTATACTTGACTAAGGACGCATATTTTGCTAATGTAATAATAAAACAACGATTTATAATTATAATGAAGTGATTTATTTGGGGGGGGGGGGGCATACCACATGTTTCGATAGAACGTTGGTCTATCTTCATACCTGAAGAAGGCAAACCAATCTTCTATCGAAACATGTAGTATGTCCCCCCCCCCAAAACTAAATCACTTCATTACAAGTATATATAACTCGTTGTTTGCCTACCTATAATTAAAAGGCAATGCTACTTCTACATTTCTCACAAGACTGTATCGATTTTAGTTCAGGTAATATATCCTACGTGCATAGGCGTATGGGGGATTTTTTCATCGGGGGGGGGGGCTGTACAATTTTTGCCCGAATGAGGTTATGAGTAAACAACTTTTGCTATCCAGTTTTTCTCGAATGGCCGTATTGTTTTGTAAGTTGTGGGAGGACTTCCGCGCCCCGCCTCATACGCCTATGCCTACGTGATTTTACCGTCGCAATAGTTTTAAATAATCATTGATAATATATAAATTAAATCTAGTTAAAATAAAAATTCTTAGTTCACTGAAAGTTGGGTGTTGTTGCGTGCGTTTAAAAGCTGTAAACAAAAATAGCAGATCATTTATTTGTTGTTTCCTGTCTAGACTAAAGTTATTTGTCGTCCACCAATGGATTTCTTACATACTTACATGCTAATCGAACGCTTCCTACAGCGTAGGCAGATGCTGCTCGAGGTTTATGAGTTACAAGAGCAAGTTCTGTAAGAAACAAACACAAAAATTTCATTTTTAATACAAGTACAAGGTTTAATACAAATACAAGGTCTAATACAAGTACAAGGTTTAATAAAAGTACAAGGTCTAATACAAGTACAAGGCCTAATACAAATACAAGGTATAATACAAGTACAAGGCCTAATACAAATACAAGGTATAATACAAGTACAAGGTCTAATACAAATACAAGGTTTAATACAAGTACAAGGTCTAATACAAAGTACAAGGATTAATACAAGTACAGGGTCTAATACAAGTACAAGGTCTAATACAAGTACAAGGTCTAATACAAAGTACAAGGTTTAATACAAGTACAAGGTCTAATACAAATACAAGGTTTAATACAAGTACAGGGTCTAATACAAATACAAGGTCTAATACAAGTACAAGGCCCCTTGTACTTGTATTATCTAATACAAGTACAAGGCCTAATACAAATACAAGGTCTAATACAAGTACAAGGCCTAATACAAATACAAGGTATAATACAAGTACAAGGCCTAATACAAATACAAGGTATAATACAAGTACAAGGTCTAATACAAGTACAAGGTCTAATACAAGTACAAGGTATCCACTCTTTTCTTATTCTAACTAACACTGGTGTTGGACTTTCTGTTATTAAATTACTATTTCACAACTTCATCGTTTGCTAGTTTTTACACCTGTGTTCCCACAAGTGACGTCTTTAAATACGTACGTAAATACTCAATTTCTAATACATGATTACTCTCGTAAGACACAGATTATTTGTCCAAAATAAAAGACACGTATTCCGTTATCCTTAAGGGTTATGTACCATTAATCAGCGTATACAATACGTTATTACTTATACCTGCGTCTTAACTTTTGTCTGGTAAAAAAAAAAGCGTAATTTTTTTTACATTGTAAAACTAACGCGAAACAACGTGATAAAATATAGATTTTAGTAAGAGGTAAAAGCAGTTTCACACGAATATTTTCAACTCTTCTTTAGATTTGTTAACACTAGAATCGTATAGGATGAATAAAAATTTCATATACTACAGAATGACGATCTGATTTTTTTTTATTCAAGTCTGATGAATTTCGACATTGTGCGTGGTAACGTTAATTAACTTCTTATACAATAACGTTAATTATAAACCAAACAAAAAAATTCCAAATTTTTTCTACTAATCTGGTTGATTACCTTAAAAACAATGAAACATTTTCAATGTACTTAATTTTTGATCATCAGAGTGGGGTTACACAAGATTGATTCTCAGTTGATCATATAGAACATCAAAACACGTACAGAAATGGAAATTTGGGTTATAAAAGCGTCTGTTTGTTTGTAATTAAGCACAAAGCTACACAATGGGCTATCTGTGCTCTGGCCACCACGGGTATCGAAACCCGGATTCTAGCGTTGTAAGTCCGCAGACTCCAGTCGTTAATCCTTCATAATTTACATACCGAAGTATTCGTTATCAGAATTGTATTTGTTTGATTATAGTAAAGCACAGAACTACACAAAAGACTATTTGCGCTGAGTCCACGACGGGTATCGAAGCCCGGTTTTAGCGTTATAAGCTTTCACACCTAACGTCTAGAGTACCCCGGCAGGACAGCTGTAAGTCTAAGGACCTATAACTCTACAATCCGGGGTTCGATTTCCTGTGACAGACACAGACAATAGCCCAGGATAGCTTTGCTCTAATATACATAAACTTACCGCTGAGCCACTAGGGAGCTCGCTATCAGAAAACCAGAAATTCGCATATCGTGAGTACGGTTAAACACATCATTTGATTATAGTGGAATGTATCTATCTATATGAAATTGAGCATTTAAGTGTTAAATACAACATGTTGCATCTACTTCTTTAGTTGTTCTGAGGTTCTAATATTGACAAATCTAATTAATTGAGTTTTATACACGGAAATGTTTGAATTACCTTTAATCTTAACATTAGTATTTTCTAAGGGTTCTTTTAAATCCTATTATTCTCATCTAGAATTAAAATTGGTTGTGTGGTAGCTTCAAGAAAAACAAAATAATTTTATTAAAAACCACAAACAGTTAAGCTAATCCTAAATGTGTTTACCTCCAAAATATTGTCCTTTAATCAAACGTAACAGTTCTTTCTCTTCGTCTGACTGAAAGAAAAAGAAAACCATACGAAATGTGTTTCGAAACAAATAAGACGAGGCAACATATAAACAATTATATTTGAAATCCTTGCTTTTAAGTAACATTTAATTCTATCTCTTAGTTTCCAGATAAATCTACTTTTAAGTACCATTTAACTCTATCGCTTACTTTCCAGATAAATCTACTTTTAAGTACCATTTAACTCTATCGCTTACTTTCCAGATAAATCTACTTTTAAGTACCATTTAATTCTATCTCTTAGTTTCCAGATAAATCTACTTTTAAGTACTATTTAACTCTATCGCTTACTTTCCAGATAAATCTACTTTTAAGTACCATTTAATTCTATCTCTTAGTTTCCAGATAAATCTACTTTTAAGTAATAAAAACTCTATCGCTTACTTTCCAGATAAATCTACTTTTAAGAACCATTTAATTCTATCGCTTAGTTTCCAGATAAATCTACCTTTAAGTACTATTTAACTCTATCGCTTACTTTCCAGATAAATCTACTTTTAAGTACTATTTAACTCTATCGCTTAGTTTCCAGATAAATCTACTTTTAAGTACTATTTAACTCTATCGCTTACTTTCCAGATAAATCTACTTTTAAGTACCATTTAACTCTATCGCTTACTTTCCAGATAAATCTACTTTTAAGTACTATTTAACTCTATCGCTTACTTTCCAGATAAACCTACTTT